ACATTTGGAATTTTGTGGAGAAAATCAACAGAGCTCTGATGGGTGATATCAGTGGAACCACCTCCTCCGCCACCGGCACCGCCGTCGACGATGATCTGTTACTCAAAAAATTCTTCGCGGAAGTTAGCGAGGTTGAGCGCGACAACGAAGTCACCAGGTTCTTTATTCTGATGCATGAGCTTATAGGTTTATGATGGAATAAAGAGCTCATTTTCATTTGTTTGGCTAGGGTTTCGATACCTTATCTTATTTAATTAATTTATGGTGAAAATTTTGCAGTTGTACTGTCAATTTCTTTATGATGTGTGCATGACTGGCAATATATATGTAAATTGTCTATTTTTTTCTTGTGTCAATATGGATTTAAGTGAGATGGAAAATTTATTTGATAGAATTTCTTTTGAAAGGTGAAATGCTGTGGATAATCCTAATCTGGAAATTTAGCAGATAATTGTTGGAGGTGTCACGGGAGTTACGTAAAATTTGTATAAGACTTTATCTGAATCCGGTATGCTGTTGAGTCTTCGTGTTCGTTCGCTTATTTTCTTGAAAACTGTATTGCTGCTTTTGAGGTCACTCAATTGTAACTGATTATATGTAGAATGCAAGACTGTTCCTTTTGATTAACTGCCTGTCCCTTCTCTCTTTATTATCTACCCAGAAGAGGATCTAGCTTTTGAAGTCTTTCATTATATTTTGCTCTATCGATAGCTGAACCATGTTTACTTGTTCCAAGTGCTTGAGCACTTGGGTTTCAAAACCTCCTTTAGTTATATTATATATTCAGAGGTTATCGGCCTATTGGATCCAATGGCATTTGGGGTACCTGGCTTGTAGGTGTCTTTGAAACCATAAGAATTTCTGAAGAAATAACAATGACGCTCACTTTCACGTTATAATTGACTTTTTCCATAAATAATTTCTTCGAGTATATTCTGTATAGCAAGACATCTACCTGTTGAATCCATATTACAGGTAATGTATCCAGGTAATGGAGTGTTCTATATACAATCTTCTAATCGGAAATAAGAATCTTTATTCTGTGTACCCTGTGACTCCAAACAATCCGATGTTTTAATGTTGTCAGAGCATCTATGGTGTAGAGCTTATTTGTCATTATGGAATGTGTTTGGGCTCAAGTTTTATCAATTCCCCAATTGTAAATTACAGAAACTAAATAATTTGAGTGAATTCCTAGTTTCTTCTCTCTAAAGACATAGATGCAAATATTTATGTGTTTTGGAGATAATTATGTATTTTGGTTTCTAAGTGAATGTATGGTGAGCCATTGGTGTAAGTGTGCTATGTGTTACCTTTATTTGTCTGTTCTGGTGACGGTCTAAGATATTCATCTGAAGTTTAGTTCCTGATGCCTTTGTCATTTTTTATTCTTCAATGGCTATAAACCTCCTGTTTCTTGAAAAGGTACGAGATATATTGTGTGTTTTGACATTTCCTTTGTTGGCTCCAATAGGATCCTTTCGTGCTTCAAGTTAAATGCTTTTGAGTACCTGAACCTACCATTTGATTCCTCTGTAGATGATGTGAAAAGGCAATATCGTAAGGCAATGTCCAGATCTTGTCAAGTTGTCCTTATTGCGTGTGTTTTGTGTCACTGTGGAATAACAAATTGCTTTTACTGCTGCTTTATCCAATTACAGTTATCCTTGCTCGTCCACCCTGATAAATGTAAACATCCTCAAGCAAAGGAAGCATTTGGAGGTAACTAACCCTATACTTTATCCATTGATTTTTTTTTCCCATCTTATCACCTAACTTCATTTCTTCCCCAAACTTCTTTAGAATCTGTGTGTGCATATGACTTACATTCGGAAGTGTAAGTTGAGAGATAATCGCGGTCATTTAACATATTTGCTTATGAAACATGCTAATACTTTATGCAGTGTGAAACTCAATACATTTTATCCAAGAGTAGTTGGGAAGCATCATTCTTAAGCACCACATCAGAAGTTACTATTTTCCAGGCCGAGAACTGTAGACATAGTTCGGCTTTTTTTGCTATCAATGTTTTGGCAGTCTGTTCATCCAGCTATAATTTTGGAATCTACATGATCAGTATAATTATAATTTTGGAATGTTCAATATTGTTACATCCAACTATTGCATATTTTAATTTATTAGTTGTGTGCCTATTTGATGATTTAAGTCACTATTCAACTATTTAAAGTTAGGAGATGGAAATAGTTAGGTTTTGTTTGGAATTTTTTGTTTGTATGGTTAATTTTGAAAAAGGTAGTATGGTTAGTTGTTAGTTGGATTTTGAGCTTATATAAAAATAATATCTAAAATAAAACAATTATAGTAGATTTGATGTAAAAATAGTAGAGAGATGATGTGAAATGATAGTTAGTTAAAATTTTGTGAGTGGATGAATAGTGAATTAAAGCTTATGTAATGTGTAAGAATGATTGATTGGTATTATTTAATTATATTGATAATGTTGAGGATAGTGGAGTTGGGTTAAAGTTGAGTTAGATTTGAATTTTTTATTTTTATTTTTTTTAACAAAAAAGGTTATTGGTTAGAAATGATTGGATATCTTTGAAAAATTTTGTATCCAAGAATGCTCTTAGTGATCTAGGATTCCTTGTTGTGTAATGGTTTTAAAATGTTAGTTGTGTCTGCCCATTTGGAGGAGGTTGTGTTGTGTTGATAATCATTCCATTTTTTACTCCTTCGTGNCGAAGGACCATGATTAGCAGTTCCTTGAATTCAAACATGCCCAAATTATGTGTTGAAGCACTCAAAACTGTTACAATCTTTGATTGATTGGTTACTTAGGAAGAATTCTTTCTGGGTTAGTGTAATTTCGATTCAATTTTTAGGTTACATTGTTTTAGCTGCTTCTATGGAAGCTAGTGTAGTTTGGATCTTAATTCTGATAAAATTTTGTCACATTATTTTGTTTGTGGACAGCATTGGCAAAAGCTCAACAATTATTACTCGACCCACAGGAGAGAGATTATATATTGAATCAAGTTACTGCTGCCAAAGGTTAGTTCCCTCTCTCCACTCTCTCCCAATGTATTTTTTTTTTTAAATCGTTTATATTCTATTGGGACCTTCTGGTCTTTCGTATCCTGAAGTACTTATACATCAAACTTTGTAAAAAACAATTGAGGGAAACCGTAAAGTAGAATTTAGTTATTAGAAAATGGGAATATAAAACTGTTGACAGTTTTAATTTGACTTAAATTATAGTAGCTGCCTCCACCAGTCTGTCTTTTATTTCCTCTGTTTTTTTTTTTTCACCTTTGTTAGTTACTATGGAGCAACCTGGTTTCAGCTTTTCCTACTCTCATAGTAATCCAAGTTAGCCGATTTTGTTGCCCTTACCCTTCACTTGCACAATCTTTGACTTGATTTGATACTCAATTTTTTTTTTATTTTTTTTTATTTTTTTTTTACCTGGGTTAAGATGAAATTTGTCCGGTTACTGGAAACATTCCGGATGGAATCTTTCCATCTGCGTATTTGACCTTCCTCACACACATAATTTATATGTATACAGAAATTGCTATAATTTGCATCAAGTCTGATCTGAAAAAATTAAAGATAGGAACATGTCTAGACTTTAAAATATTTCTCTTGTATGTTTTTGCTTTCTGATACTTTTGATACGAGTAATCTGTAAATGTGTTCATGCTTCTAAATATGTGATGCAGAAGAACTTCGGGCGAAGAGGAAGAAGCAGCTGAAGAAAGACACCGCAACCAAGATAAAGTCGCTAGTGGATGAGGTAAAAGTTATATCTTAAATTTGCATTATTGATTGGTAGACTTTTTAAGTATATGTTAGTACCTGAAAAAATGTTATCCTCCTTTCTTTGGGGTTATCTGATTGAATAACTGCATAGACTATAATTTCCAGATGACAAACATTGTTCTGGTTTTCTTTCGAACAATGACAGGGAAAATATGAGCAGGAATTTGAAAGATCAGAGGAATTTCAGCAACAGTTGAAATTGAAAGTCCGAGAAATCCTAACTGATCAAGAGTGGAGGAGAAGGAAAATGCAGATGAGGGTATTCCACATTACTGTTAGTCTGGATGGAAGACAATTTTCTTATTCAGAATTCCCACTTCAATTTTTTTTTATTGTATGTAGATATCAGAGGAGGAAGGTAGATTAAAGAAAGACGAAGAAGAAACCAAAGAGATGTGGAAACGAAAACGTGAACACGAGGAGCAATGGGAAGGCACTCGTGAACAGAGAGTTAGTTTTCTCATGCGTTTTATCTTGTAGTATTATTATCTTTTAGTCACATGCTCTAGAGAATGTGATGATGTAGGTTGTGTTTGGTAAGTATAATTTATAGCTTATTTGATTAGTTTATAAGCTTTCTGTATTCAAATAAGCTTTGGTTTGTTAGGACAAGTTTTTTCAAAAAGTTCGAGCTTATCGCATAAGCTTCATTGGGTAGCTTTTCAAATGAGCCTATTTGAAATTTTTATTTCCGCAGCTAATTTTACCGAACACTTTTATCGTATAACCTAGTTTTTTAGCCATAAGTCATAAGCTATCATCTATAATCTCGAAATTCACTTAAAAGATATAAGCTAGCTCATCAGGTAGGTTAACCAAGCATAGCCGTATTCGCCTTTAGTTTTCTTGTTCGGATTGGAGATGTAAAAAGGGACAATCACTATAGGAAAAAAGAAGTAGATACTAATACAGTTTTTGATATCTTAAAAACTTAAATCATTGAACTTACCTCAGGTTTCAAGTTGGAGGGACTTTATGAAAGGTGGAAAAAAGGTAACATCTTTATTTTCTTTTTTTTTTTTTTCTTTTCCTTTACCCTTTCCTCCTCTTTCAGGGAGAAAGTTGGTAAAGCATTTTACTTTTTTGTGGGGTTTTGTAGGTTAAAAAGGGAGAGCTCCGACCTCCAAAGCTTAAGACAGAGGATGCAAACAAATCGTATGTTCAAAGGCCAGTAAAACGAGGATGATCGATCATCACGGCCCTTGTACTTCTTCTTCCAAATTAACCATGGTGTTGCCCAAGATATTTTTAAATGTTTAGTTTTGTAGAAATCGTTTTGCACAACATGGACCAAATCCACTTGAATCATCTTACATCTATTGTAATTTCCAATATGTTCCCTTAACAGGACAGCCACCAATCTCGTGCAATTAATGTCTGTTAACGTTATTTTAAATTTTAGATGCATATATGTTTTCTTAGCATAGGTGTGAGTAGGACTAAAAAATCGAACCCCAAAAAAAAAAAAAAAACATTGGAATGCATTATTGTTGCTTTAGAACTCAACTCAGTTTGGCGACACTGTAGTTATATATAATGAAGGTGTATTCGTTTGGAAATTTGAGTTGTAGTTATATATATTAATGAAGGTGTATTCGTTTGGAAATTTGAGTGCATTAATTGTATATATTAATGAAGGTGTATTCGTTTGGAAACTTGAGTGGCATTTTAAGATTTTTAAAAATGGATATTTCTTAAAACTTACTGATTTAAGTGAAATCTTAAGAAATTAGAAGACTACACGTGGGATTTGGTGGTGACTGGTAGAGGGCTGAGTACGGGTCGGTTTGGTTCGGAGATTCAGAAATCTCTGAAACCGAACCGAACTTCGAAGATTTCAAAAATTTGATCTCCGGAACCGAACCGGTCCTAACAAATCTTCGTTCCGAACCGAACCGAAATTCTTTCGGTTCGGTTCGGAGATTTGGTTCTAATGGGTCGATTCGGTACAGATCGGATATTTTAGAGATTTTTTTTATTATTTTTTTTAACTCTCCTAATTGTGTGTTAGATGGTACATATTATGGATGAAAGCAAAATAAGTGGTCAAAATATTTTTTATTTTATAAAAAAAGTGATAATTATGTTTTGGTTGCAAAATATCATAATTTAGTTTGAAAGATTTATATGATAAACGTTTATATGCCAACAAATCCGCAAGTGATAAGACGTAAATAAACAATAATCAATTGAAAAATAGTTACTTGTTAAATAAAAGGATCTTTTGGAAATATATTATGTCCAAATAAATTAATCTCTTCAGGCCGATATTATGAGATTTGGATATAGTACAAATAAAGTTTGTTTTCGAAAAGTGAAGATATTTTATTTTATTAAGTTATAATTAATTTTATTAATAAAATAATCGATATATTCGTTCATAATATAATATTATGGTAAAGATATCTTTCATTTTATTTTTATTTTAGAATATATTACCTTTAAATAAATAATTCTCTCCAAGTTTTGAGAAAGACTTACTTCATAAAGGACGGTTTCTAAACATTCGGTATTATAATTTTATTAAGTTATATTAATTGATTTTCTTAATAAAATATTTGACATGTTGGCTATCAAGTTTTGTAATAGAAAGAGTGTAATAATTTAATTTTCTCTTCAAATTCGAAAATGAGATTTTAGATTTTAGTGTCTCATAAGCAGTACCAAAATAAAATAATTAATTTTTTAGTTTTTAAATTATATTAACATAGTGGATGTTTGTCGTAACTCAATTTGAAATATAACTTATGGTAGTTTTATGGATCTATACGTAATGTATATAGATTTTATTTGAATACAATTATGTACAAAGATGAAAAAAATACATATGATAAAATAAGATAATATATATATATATATATATATATAGATTTTATGAATTGTAATCGGTTCTTGTTCGGTTCCTCGGTTCGGTATGGTTATTTTTGGTTCGGTCCGGCTCGGTACAGTTCTCAGTACGGATATTTTATGAATCTCCAGAAACCAAAAAAAATTTCTGTACGGTTCGGTTCGGAGATAGTCAAACAGTCAACGGATATTTTTCGATTCAGAATTCGGTTCGATTTTGAAAACGGTTCAGTAATCTCCAAGACCCGTGCTCAGCCATATATAATTTCTGTTTGACGTATGTAAGTCTTAACGAATATATATGTTAATTTGAAGTTAACTACATTGGATATGTTGAGACTTTTAAAAAATCTCAAATAAATACTTCAAGACAGCTTAAAAGTGTTAAAAAAAATTAAGAGTGTCATTTTTTATATGATTTTTTCTTTTTGAAATCCCAACAAATTTTAAAAATCGTAACAAATCTTAGTAAAAGATAAATTTAATATTTTAAGAATTTGTAAGACATTAAAATCTCTAAATATCTCAAGATTTTTTAAAGTCAAAATCTTAAAAAAGTAATCCATAAGAATGAATCTCCCAAATTAAAAAACACTAGGATTTTTAAAAATCTCAAAATGTTAAGGTACATGTGATCTGGAACATGAAATTTGAGGTGCAATCTGACACTATCAAAGAACATTTTATGCTGTCATCTCAACAACTCTTTATTCTTTAAATAAGTAAAATTTTCATTATAATTTTTCAAATTGAAAATCGACATTTCTATATCAACTCAAAACATTTTTTACTGTCAATTATTAATTTACAATATTTGTATCATCACATTTTAATAATTCACCACACAATTCGTTGCATTATAAAAATAAACTAGTACAGTTGTCCGTGCAAATGCACGGGGGCTACGAAAAAAAAAAAATTACAAGAGTGATTGCAATTTATACAAATGCATAACGATGAAATGTATTGAACACTTCATTATATACAACGTTCTTCGTATTTGAGGTACTTTTATCATAACATATTTTAATATTTTCAATCATTTCCCATTTGTAATTCGTGAACATGAGACATAAAGTTGGTCATGCGTGAATACAGAGTTCTTTAGGTATAACGTTCATATAAATTACTCTTCAATAACTAAAATATATATTATATTTTTTATATGAATAGATATAATTACCGATTCATGCAATAAATATATATTTCTTCAGGTATAATATTCATACAAATTAATACTCAATAACTTAAATATAAATAATGAGTCCTTACAAAAGGAGTCTTTAGCCAAATCGGTAAAACTTTATGTTATTGGTCCTACAAACATGATGTTATTTATTTATTTATTTATTCTGAAGAATGTTTGTGTGATTCATTAGGCATGTTTTAAAATATTTTACATCTAATTTCGCTATTATTAGATTTAATTTGCAGGTTGTAGAAATGAAATAAAAAATATTCTACATGTTGTTAATTATTTATTTATTTATTATGAAGAATGTTTGTGTGTTATTCATTGTGCATGTTTTTAAAATATATTTTTTTTATCTAATTTCACTACTATTAGAGTTAATATTTATGTACAAAATTTAAAATAAAAAAAAAATTATGAAAGTCAGGCAAGAAACATACGGACACTTATAATTATTTTAATTTATACACTATAAATATGAAAATTAGATAACTAATTTAAATTAAAATCTTTAATAAAAATATAATAAAATTTTATAAAAGTACCTTTCAAGTAAAAATGAGCCAAAACTGATAAACACGTGTCAAATTATTAAATAACAGGGTGTTGGGTAGTTATGGATAAAATAAATAAAATATTATTTGAGGTAGTTAATATTAATATAAATAAGAACACGTGTCAAAAGAATGTGAGACTTTCCTAAAATAGTAAGAGTAGAGTATGACCCACATAAAACTTTCTA